AGGCCATAATTGGTCAAATCAATCAAAATTTTGTTGATAGGCTCTTAACATAACACCTTCATCGCTTTAAAAGGAAAGTGCAAAGTTTTTTGAGACAGACAAAAAAAGAAAAATTTATAAAGTCCAGTGAGATAGATAGAGTATTATTTTTCTCGTATGATATATATATATATATATATATATATATATATATATATATATATATATATATATATATATATATATATATATAGAATAAGGATCAAATGAGAAGAGTGCTTATCGTAGGAAGTGAGAATGCATCTGATGCGTTCATTTTAAGATCTGTGCATCAGATTAGCAAAAAAGTGCACGGGAAAGTGCAAAAACTATTTAAAAAGTGATGCTAGACGCGGTGGCATGTCCGTAATTAATCGGAACTTTTCTGTCATCGTAAAAAGTACATCAGATTAGCGAAAAAGTGCATCAGAAAGAGAAAAATGTGAAGCTTCTCATTTCTCACGTTAAGATGTCTTCTTATTAGAACTCAACCCTGTATATATATATATATATATATATATATATATATATATATATATATATATATATATATATATATATATATATAAAAGTTAATCTCAATATAATATCAGGTATTGTTAGATTCATTGAATGATTTACAAAGGCATGTGTGATTCTCCATTAAATCACAAAGAAATCTTATGAGTTTTGAAGATATGTGTCTAAATGATTATCATATTGAAACCATGTTTGAAAATCATCAAAAGCGATATTTATGTGTAACAACAAATAAATGTGAAAATAAAAAAGTTTGTGTCAAAAATGTCAACATATTCCTTGGAGCTCTATCATATATATGCCACTTCAATTGAGATAAATTTTATATCTTATAAAAGATAAATGATCAAAATTGTCTTTATGTTGTGACATTACCTTTTAGGTCATCCAACCTCCACTATGATGCATAGAATTATTGAAAATTCACAATCAAGTCATTTTTCATGTGTTGCCTATTCTCTTGTCAAATTGACTCTGGGGTTATCTTCTTTTTATAAAACCGAAGCTAAAGCTCCTAAGTTTGAAAAGAATTGAAGGATATATTTTTGGACCAATGGTCCCTCAGTGTAGACCATTTTAATATTTTATGCTGCTAATTGATGTATTAACACTTTAGTCACATGTTAATCATCCTTTATCGGCTAGAAGTTTTGCATTTGCAAACCTACTTGCTTAAATTATATGTTTGAGATCACAATATCTGAATATTCAATAAGAAAAGTTGCCTTCATAATGTAAGAGAATTTACATCTCAAACTATTAATGACTATTGTGTGTGAATTTGGATTGATGTGAAACATCCAGTTCTACACGTTCATACACAAAATGGTCTTGGTGAATGACTGATTAAGCGATTAAAATTACTTGCTAGACCATTATAATGTTGATGAAATCCATACTAACATCATCTGCTAATAAGTATTGTTGTGTATCATAAGCTGATAAGCATTCTCCGTCTCAATAAAATCTGGTATAAAACAAATTATATCACACATCAAAATATGTGGTTTTGATGTGTGTGTGCTGCTTGCTCCATCATATCATACAAAAAAGGTCCAAAAATAAGACTGAGAATTTATGTTGGTTTTAAATTTCCAAAAAATATATACTACGCAGAATCTATGTGTAACACCCCAACCCCGTAGGTCTCGAGGTAGTTACTTCTGACCTCTAGTACTATCCTCACAAACCACCACTAGCCTTTTCCGCGTACTTTGTCCTCACTCATGTGCGCCCTGAGGAACTTCCCAGGAGGTCACCCATCTCAAGACTACTCCCGTGCAAGCACGCTTAACTTTAGAGTTATTGATTAATGAGCTCCCTTAAAAGGAGATGCACCTTGTTGGTATGAGTAGTACTATTAATCCATTTAAATTAAATCTCAAGTGTTACAATCACCCCCACTTAGGGACGCAACGTCCTCGTTGCGCCCATCAACCAATCTCAAATCTCAATCAAATCCTAGAATCCTCCCCCGCTAAGTGCCCGCCCGATATCCAACAGGTCAGTACACCGTCGCAGGGTTGCTCTGATACCATTTGTAACACCCCGGCCCCGTAGGCCCCGAGGTAGTTACTTCTGACCTCTAGTACTATCCTCACAAACCGCCAATAGCCTTTTCCGCGCACTTTGTCCTCACTCGTGTGCGCCCTGAGAAACTTCTCAGGGGGTCACCCATCCCAAGACTACTCCCGTGCAAGCACGCTTAGCTTTGGAGTTCTTGGCTAATGAGCTCCCTTAAAAGAAGATGCACCTTGTTGGTATGAGTAGTACTATTAATCCGTTTAAATTAAATCTCAAGTGTTACACTATGACCGACGATTTATTCATAACACGGTTCGCTGACTCTGATTTAATGAGACATGATTCTTGGCCTTAGGTGGATATAATAGACAAATGAACTCACATGCAAAAGATATTACCTAGAACGCAACAAATAATTGTAAATAATTTGCACATGGCAATTCACGTGCAAATGCATTTGAACAAGGAATTCAAAGAATCGTTCATTATATTTACACTGTCACAAATCAATTGTGTAACACTTTCATAGACTCAAAGAAAGTGATAAAATCACATATTCCAACTATGAATGCTCCTGCTTGATTTGAAATTCATGTGTAAAATAGTGAAATAACTCTTCAAATGAGCCTATGATACGTAAGAACATGTGGTAAACCGCTTGGTTCAAAATATGTGGAACCTAGAAAGTTTAAAAAGTAAGATGTAGTTTGTGGTTTCAAAAAAAATCAACCTTCTCATGAAGAAAATTTACATTTTAAAAATATTGACATTGAAGATAATTAATAATGATACATTAAAAGAGGAGTTTGAAAATAAAGACATTTGAAGAGGTGAATAATCGAGATAAAGACGAAGCATCAATAACTTTGAAAATTCAATAAATTATGTTTCTACTTGGATATAATGAAAAGGAAAAGATATCGATGTTAATGATATATTTGCATAGTTCATTGCCACATAATACAGATATAATGAATGAAAATGATGACAATGAGCCAAAACCTATTGATGAGTGTCATCATAGACATGATTGACCAAAATGAACTGAAGCATTTCAGGTAGGATTAAAATCGTTAGAAAAACGTGGTATTTTTGGACCAATAGTCTAGATGCTAATAGAAGTAAAACATGTGAGTTTTAAATGGGTTTTTGTGTGCAAACGTAATGAGAAAACTGAAATCGTGAGATGTGAAACCTGGCTTGTTGCGCAAAGTTTTTCTCAAATGCTAGACATTGATTAATGGGAAACTTATATCCTAGCGATTGATGCAACAACTTTAAGATTTTTATTTGGCATATGTAATTTGAGATATTGCAAATGCGCACCTAATTTGAGAGATTTATCAATGAATATTTAATGCTCATTAATTAATAAAGTCACAAACTCATTTTATGTTAAATATTATCGTGAGTTTTATTTATTAATATTTAGTCCCCGAATATTATGTTTAGTAGCTATTTAAGTACGTGACTTAATTGTGGAATGCTACACTTTAAAATAAACATAATATTCGAATTGTTCCTGGTCTAATATTATTAATTTGGGACATTAATAATTAATAGGCTAGTATGTGGATTAACTGATGGCTATATTTCACTAGTCATGTGTATAGAGATATCAAGTTAATAACATAGATGCTTGTTAGTGAACAAGTTCATTGGACAGACCCAACTTGAGGACACTGCTAGGTTATATGTCATCAGTGTTGTCCTCAATAATGATGAGGTGCTATATTCTTATACTTGAGATAATCATGGTTACTTGCATGTGAATTGATATGTATTAACACCATTAAATGTTATCTTTAAACGGGTAATTATAAAGGTGGTGATTGTACATATTATGAACCATGTAGTGGTATGTGAATTATCAAGATAGTTTTTGTCACTCTCGTGTAGTGAGAGAAAGATATCTATTGGGCCCTTGACAAGTAAGATTAATTAGCATGGTCATGCTCAAATGAGGTGTCATTTGTTCAAGATTAATCTTACTTGGTAATCAAGAAATATTAATTTAGAATAACAAGGATGACACGACCTAACCTTGTCTCAATTAGGATATCGTTTGACAAAAGAGAATTATTAACACAAATTAATCATTAAAAGGTTATGTCAGATTTAATTGACATTTATATATTTTGGATAGTCATAATGCCTTGCTAGAGGTCGCTTATGATTTGTGAGGCTTGAATTAATTTTCTAGCCCACTGCCAACGATGTATAAACCTACAGGGTCACACACCTAAGTGATTTGGATCATTAATGTTCGTTAATAACATTAAAATAGCCTGATTAGCCCAATTCGAAGTAGGTTTTCGAATGGTATTGGGCTATGGCCTCCGGGATAGTTTTATTAGCTATAAAACTCCTTCTTTCCTCCTCTTATAAATAGGACTAAGGAGACCCACGAATTTCAAGAGTTAAAATTCACATCTCAAAACCTAGAGAGAGAGAGAGAGAAAGAAGAGAACGCTAGCACGTTCCCTATGGCTGATCCAGTTACGTGCGTGTGGATACCGGTAGAGCCCGGGGTTTTTTTCTCGGACTGTCTGACATCCTTGCTTAAGATTGCTATGTGAGTCCCTCTTATATCTTGTAATTTCGTTTATAGTAAGAACCTCAGATCCGGTTGTTTACTTTTGGGCAGTATTTTTTGTTTATTCCGCTGCGTTTTTCTGCCCGAAACCCAACAACGTCAGCATATTTATACGGGTCACTCGATAGAGACATATAATGAAAATTCCTAGATGATTTAAACTAGCTTCCTGATGCTTATAGCTCGAAATCTAGAGACTTATTTTTCATAAGATGGGAAAGTCGTTATACGGACTAAAATAATCTAGATGTGTGTAATATAATCGTCTCGGTGAATATTTGATCAAAGAAGAATATAAAGATGATCCTATTAATTAGGGTTTCATTCAGCGATCTAAATGAGGGTTTGCCATAATTTCATTATAAGTTGATGACTTAAACATTATTGGAACTCCTGATGAAGTAGTATATACTACAAAATAGTATACTCCTATGAAGGAATTTTTTTATAGAAAAGTTTGAAGAATTGTTGCTTAACTTTTGAATTTACAAAGTATGACATTATATATGGTTTTTTGACTTTTTTCTATGAGTAATTACATTGATTTAATCGCATATTCTGATGAATCGTTGCTTAACTTGACACATACTCTAGCATCTGTGTACACCTTTCCTGCTCGACAATAGTACCCCTTACTTGGAGCGCAATGAGAATCTTGTGAACATATACACAACCCTTCTGAAGCACATCCATCCTTTTTTATGGTCAATCCTTCTTTTAGACCCAAAACCTGATCAGTCCAGTCGCTTGAAAACAACCCTGAAGGATCATACTTGTCCTTAACTTTCAAGAACTCATCATACTTTGCATACTTGTTGATTGCCCCTATAAAAGCAACATTTCGGTTCTTCCCCCAATGTGGCAAGGCGCCATACTTAAAAACCGCGAGTTGCTCGATTTCTTCTAAGACGTCTTGATAAAGCCTCGGAGCCGTGGGATCTTTGCTTCGATAGTAGGTAATGTCAAAGTCTATGGCATTGTCTTGTTTCCCTAAGTATGCATTTGAAGTTGTGACATATCTCATCAGAATGCCATTGTATAGTCCCACTACGCACAAAGATTTTGTGTCCAAACTCACCAACTTTTGCACCTCTTGTATGAAACCCTTTACCTTTGAGAGGCTAATGCTGAATGTTGTTTGGTGAAAAAATAGTCCCTTTACTCTAGGATCCCATGGGCAAGCTGTTAGTAATCCATCCTTTAAACTGTCTAGGCAAGTGCCAGATGATTGGAGCCGATTTTGGTAACCAATTATAGGGTACCCCGTGAATATAACACCTGTTTATATTTATAAAAATGGTCAATAAATAATTGATCATCAATAAATAGTTGATCATCAATGCATATAAATATATAATTCATTCAATCCTAGCCACAGTATCAACAAAGTTAATGCTTCTACTAATTGGAGTTTAATTAAGTAAATATTTTTTAATTCACTGATGATGAAGGACCGTACACTAGATCAAAATAAATAAATAATGTATAGCACTATAATGAGCAAATATTTAAGTATATTACCATTGTTGGTTAATCCATAAGAAGTTAATTTTAAGAATAATGAGGATGTATCTGCATCTGTGCACTTGCCATTCGCATCATTGGTTAATTCATGATTTTCCTCTGCACAAACAAATAGATGCATTCATGTTGAAAAGATTGACCTGACCTAAAAACAATAATCTTAAATGGGTGACTGTTATGGTTGATAATTAAGGATGCAATTAAAATAAGAAATGTTTGTCAATCAAACCATTACATACAAATACTAGGGGATAGAATTAATTAGTTTAATGGAAATTTGGAGATAGATTGAGCATTTAATATATGAAAATTTTGTTAAAATTTATATTGATAAGTTTATTAAATCTAATACAACTCTTGACTATTCGTGAGTAGGAAGACTAGTAACACAATCAACCGGATAAACAAATACTACATCCGTTTCTGAAACAAGTTCCACCTTTCCTTTTCGGGCAGATTCAAAATTAAGTTCCACTTTCAAACATTTCCTTATTTGGCAAATTATCTACATCAAAATAGTGTCAAACAGTGTCGAATAGTGTCAAACAGTGTTCAAACAGTGCACTCCACAGTAAAGTCAAATTTATTTTCTTGATATGTGTGAAGTCAAATGTGGAACTTGTTTCAGAAACGGAGGGAGTATAAATCATACTATATGTAAGTAGTAGTATTTAATTATTTACTACTACGTAGTACTTATTAGTAAAAAAATTAATTATAACTTGTTTATGTAGTGAAGATGTATGCCACAACATCCCAGCCTCAGACCTAAAAGATATTGGGATCGTAGCCACTAATATTCATATTTTGATTGATGTGATGTAATGTGATTAAGCGATCCTATTGACCGTAACGGTCCTACCACAACATTCTTCTCCTTTATCCTAACTTGGGATACAAAAAATGATTAATGATATTATTGATATCATGATGGAGTTTTATAGTTAACATATATATACGGAGTATATAATTAGTGTATTAGAACAAATATCTTTTTACATTTCCTCAGAAAATACTTTGGAAAACATATGAACAGTAAAACTAAACAAAGAATGTTAATTACACCATCCTATCCATAATGATGAGAGCACTAGTTTTGGAGAGTGTTGCCGTGCTGGTTTGATCTTTGAAGTCTTAATCATTCAAATCTACTCCCTCTCTGTCCCGAAATAATCGTCCTGTTTTGACCTTCACACAGATTAAGAAAACAAAGTTGACTTCACACTGTAGCAACACTGTTTGGCACTGTAACGACAATGTTTGGTACTGTAGCGACACTGTTTGACACTGTTTTGCACTGGTTGACATTGTTTGTATAGATTTGTTTACCAAATAAAGAAATGAGACAATTATTTCGAGACGGACCGAAAAGGAAAGCAGGACAATTATTTCGGGATGGATGAAAATTAACTTCTAAATTAACCTAGCTAGCTAGGATCAACGAAAAACCAGTTTAATTATATTAACTTCTAAGCTAACCTGAAATCCTCACGAAGCTCAACAAAAGCGAAGACATGGATCGGAATCCCAAGAAGTCATTAAGACCATCGCCGGGCGTGTTTGTTTGGACACGATCGTCAATGCGATACACAACTCTTCCCTGGCTTGGGAACCAAGTGATCTCTCCAAATTCGTGGTGCGATCCAAACGTGGCTGCCTCTTCCCCCAACTTTGTGTCATTTTCCTCCACGTAAGTTACTGACCGTTTAAACATCGGTTCAAGTTTAAGGGTCACCTTTTCATGCAACAATATATATATAAATGCCAATTCACCTTTGCAAAACATTAACTCACCTCATGGAACCAGCGGCGGAACCATGACTCGTGACTCGCAGGGGCACAATAATAAAAACATGATATACTAGTCTAGAAAAAAATCATATGCATCACGAGTATAGCAATAAACAAAACTATAAAATTTAAATAAAACCACTGTTTTTGGAATGATTTGTTGCATCCATTAAAATCACTTTGTGGAAATTTAAAGTCATGCGGTTGGCAAGGACCTTTTCTCAAATAACGTCTCCTCAACTCATCTCTAATATTAACATCATAAGTCTCAATCGGCATAACTTTTCTGTCCAGCACTTTTCTGCCCGAACACCGGCGTTTGGGGCGGTCAAATAATTCGTTGAAGTTAACTGCGCCAAATTATACATAGAAAAACGCAGTTAACTTCAACGAATTATTTGACTGCCTTCCCGGTCGAATTTTGACCTGAAATTTGGTATAGATAAACTAGACTTGATGAGGAACATGCTCAAAAAATTTCATTAAAAAAATCCACCTGAAACCTCCCCAAACGGCAGTGTTCGGACGGCGTTCGGACCGGGAGGTGCTGGACCTGAGAATTCTCCAATATATATATATATATATATATATATATATATATATATATATATATATATATATATATATATATATATATATATATATATATATATATATATATATATATAAATCACCGCAGGGGCACGGGCACCCCTAGCCCTAGGGTGGGTCCGCCCCCGCATGGAACGTGTCATGATTGTTAATTAGAACCAAATGCAGAAATATATAATATTACCTTCATCCCATCATTGATCAACAATATATATTACCAAAGTGCCAACTTTGTATATAGTATGAAATAAAAAAACAAAAAGTATAAACACGTGGATGAATAAAAAAGTGACGCATCACATTCTTTGGATGCAAACCCTCAAAATGAAAGCACATGTTCCAAAAAAATAAATCTCATGTCACTATTTGAAAATGGCTCAAAGCACAAGTACTTTTACTGTACTTTTCTCTATATTTAATTTTTTTAATTTTTTTAATTTATTTTTAATAATTTTTATTTTCTATTTTTATTTTTATTATTTTATTTAATATTTATTTTCAGATTTTAATTTTTTACTATGTTATTACAAATATACTTATTTTATTGTTATTATATTTTAATTATTAATAAAAATATGAATTCTTATTATAATATGGCAAGTATAGAGTTTGAAAGTTACTCCTATGTATTTAAGAAATTTAAAAAAAAATACGCATATTCTTACAATTTAAATTTCATTTAATCATATTTAAGGAATATCCCCTTATTATAATGGTCTCACTCTTAGGACGTTTTTACCTGGATTGAAATTTGCTGATATGGTGCGATCTGGTCTTTTTAAGTCTGATCTAGTCTGGTATGGTAAACGTCTGGTCACTGTGTATTTTATAACTACAGAAGTCTGGTATGGTCTGGTTTGGTTTGATCTGGTCTGGGATCGAAAACTGTTCAATTAAACCAGCAAATTTTTTATTTAGCTAGTTTTGCATTAGAACTTGATTCAATGGGGGAGGGGAATCAGTGTAGCGAATCAAAAATTTGGGAAATATCCGTCCGTAAGTTAACAAAAGATCAAAATTCTCTCACAATTCAACAAAGTTAGATTCTACGGTACCTTTAAGGTATCGTACTTTTGTTCACATGCACCAATCAGAATGATGTAATTGAATTATTTAAATCTAAATTAAAAATGATGCAATGATTTGAACCAATCAAATGAGTGGTAAGTACGATACTCTGTTTTTTAAAATTGGTACCGGAGTTGTCACCTTACACAAATACATGCTTCTTTGTCACTTTGCACACGCATTAAGCTAAGCTAAGGTATGGAGTAAAAGTAAAGATGCCATAAGTTCATAACGACAATACCTAACACTTGTAGAAAACTTGTAGAAAATTTGCACACGCATTGATGATGAAGAAAACTTGTAGAAAATGAGTGTTATTATTTTGATGATACTAAAAGAAACACTTTTTCATGGGAGGAGAAGATCCATTACAGATTATTTAGCTCTATTATTATGCATTATTTTGATGTTATTATTGTGGAATAATGGTTGTATAATGATTAAGACCGTGTTTGGCAATTTTAAAATTTAGTCGATCAAGTGAATCTATCTGATTTAGTTGAAATTGTGATTGAAATAGGGGGATTGAATGAACATGTCGAATTGTAAAAATGTACACAGTATATTGTGAAAAAAATCAAAGTTATATGAAAACGGTACGTTAACATAAATTTCTTTGACAATTTCAATTAGAAGAATAACTTTAATTCTATACATGCACTCGAATATTACACGATTGAGCAAATAAAATAAAAAATAAGTCTACAATAGGTTACGGGATTGAGCAAATAAAATAAAAAAATCAGTCTACAATAAATAATGTTATGTTTAAATTCTGATAATGTCAAAATTTGTGCTCACTATTTAGTTGGTCTTGGTCATAGTTTACCGTACCACTTGGTGTACGTGATATATCTAGGAATGATCCTACTTTATCATTTCATTTATTGTATAATTTTTTTGGGGTTTCCCAACCTCACTTGATTATGAATGAAAGATGGACGTTGTTGTGTCTGAGCTTACAAAATAAATAAGTACTACGTACTATGTTAGGAATAAAACATAAGTAATCTTATTTGTGTATTTATCTATGTTTTAGTAATCAATTTCTGTAAGAGTTTAAATATAACACATTTCCTTAAATAAGATCGTTACTATTTTCTTCACAAACTAAGACTTAGTCATTCATACTGTATGAAATGTTTATTATTTTATTATTTTTATACAATATCAGTCATATTTTCGAAATACAACATATTTTGTCTTATATACTTGGTAATAAATATTACTCCATTAAAAGGTGTGTAGCTCGTTTAATTTTATTTGTTGGTAAAGTTGAAAATACTTAAAGTTCAAATTCTAGGTAGGGGCGGACCAAGGAAAGTCATTTTGGGGTGTCGAAAATATTTTGGGGGGTTCAAAATACTTTTTGGAAGAGCAAAAATCATTTTTCGTATATATATACACTAAAAAAATTTGTTGGGGGGCGGTAGCCCCCTGGGTCTCTACTACGGTCCGCCCCTGATTCTAGGGATATGTTTTATTCAGCTGGCTAGCATTACTAATTTTGCAGTTACTTACCGTATAAAGAAAATGTTGCGTGGCTTTAACTTTTTGCACAAAGAAAAGGGGGAATGCAAAAGTAGAAAAAAGGAAGAAGAAAGCTCCACCCTTTCACTATCACTATGATACAATTCGAAGCATTTCAAAACATAATAACCAATCCTTAGGAAATGCTAAGTACGTAGTACTCGTATTAATTTATAAATTAAAGTTTAGTGAAAATTGTAGATTTATCTATTTCTTTTCCTATATACACCATATAATTATCAAAATAGGACTAAAAGTCACTCACATTGCACAAATAGGACCAAAAAATAAAATACGAAATATGCTTTCATAGGACTAATTATGTGTGTCTTAGATAAATATACTCCTACCGTAATTGAAATGTTTAAATTCATAATAAAATAATAAAGAATAATAAAAATTCGTAAAAAATACTAAAAAATAATAAAAATATTTCGATGATAATAATTTAATTTTTTTTTTGAAGAAAACTGTACATGTAGCGGTACTTTTCAATCAAAAGTCCTTAAATTGATCCTAAAGGTGGAATCTCCCACCCCAAGAGTCCCCACCCCGACCCGACAGGATGGTGGGGAGGTTAGTCACGGTGACTCAGTCACTAGAATGGCAGTAGACCCATACACCCGTGCGCACCAGAGACTCAACCTTATTTCAGGTTCTATGACCTCCACCCGGTTGCTGTGGGGATTCGAACCTTAGTCCATTGATCCAAATCTTTCACCACTCGACCAACTGAGTTACTCGTACAAGTATCAAAAGTCCTTAAAATTGACAAACGTAGGGGGTTTGGATCGGCGTGTTTCTTAAAATTGCTCTTCTCCTTTATTTATTCACGAAACAATAGGAGAAGATACTTTGTATTAGAGTATTTGAGTCGAAGTGCATAAATACTTGTAATAATTTTAAATTGTTCATCAAATCCTGAAAAATGTATCCTAATTCTACTTTTACTTTTAAAGGAGAACTGGAATCAATTTCAAGACTCTCTTATTACTTGTAAGATCATACGAATATTTTACAAATGAGTAAACGTACCTGTGAAATTACTCCAAGAACTCCTAAAGAAACCCTTGCTGCATTTATCTCCGGATCACCTTCTTCAAGCTGCCGGACGACGGCATACCCTTCTTCCGGCGACGCCGGAGTGACAATCCGAACCCGGACAACATAATCGTGAACGGAGCTCCCCAAGCCCCATAACGTACTCCCATGAGCTCCGGTCCCCATCATTCCTCCCACCGTCACCCCCCACCAGTACGGCGCGTGCGGCAAGGCCAGCCCCGCCTCCGCCGCTACGCTGATCAGTTGCCGGAGACTCACCCCGCTCTCCACCGTCACCGTCATGCTCCGGTTGTCAACTTTCAACGTCCGGTTAAGGAGTTTCGTGCTGATGAGTAGACCGTCGTCGCCGTCCGGGCAGACCAGCTTGGGAATGCTGTGGGAGAACCGGGTCGTGGCTTTCATTTTCCGGTTCTGTTTGGTGGCGTTCGAGATGAAGGCGAGGAGCTCTTCCTCGGTTCTCGGGTACGCCACCGCGGCGGCGCGGCAGATGGCGCGGTCCGGGAAGGCGCCGTAGGAGTTGGCGACGGTGCAGTTTTGGGTGGCGTTATTATCGGTGCATTTAATGGGATCCTCCGGCGGGGTGGATTGCACCAGTAATAAGGTGGTCATGAGGAAAGCATGGCAGAGTAGAGCATAGCCCATTTCTTCTCTCCTTTTTTCTTCAGTGTAGGAGGAATAAGGATATGTGGCAGGTATATTTATTTGGAAAATATGGGACCATATCATCCAACGACTTTTGTAACATGTGTGATGAAGTAGTTCCCGATAATAATCGTCCGTGAACAATACACGCATGAACAGTACTTCTTTTGATTTTTCTCTAGTTTCAGAATGATGTAACTCACGTGTAAAGAAATAGAACTCACATTATTGTTGAATGTAACTCAAGTCTAGTCGAAGTGTAACTTGTCCAATACATAAAATAAGAATAAAATATTGAGTTCAATGTAAAAAAGAGTCTGATTGCACAAATATTTTACATAAATAGTGTATATGTTCTGTTTATAATATCAGGGCTATATTAACAATTTTTTTATAAAAATAATTTTTATTTGAATAGAAGGGCTTATTGGGTTGTGTAACTCGCATTATATTGTGATGTAACACGCGTTGTGGAATATGTAAATCAATTGTAAACATGATGTAACTTGTTAAAAAAATTGACATGCAACCCACGGTTTAAAATATGTAACTTTAGACAAATTGTGATGTAACTGCATGTATTTCCAAATGTAATTTGAGTAGTCCAATCAAAATGTAAATTGTCTAATATTGTTTAATATTTTTTTCAAGAAATGTATCATCGGTTTTTAACCATCATCAAACAAATTTTACAAAAAAAAATCAACTCATCATCAATTCTCCAAGTAACTTGTCGAAAAAATGATTTTTTTTGACAAAATAAATGATTTTAAGAAGAAAAAAACATTATTTATGGTCTTAATATTAAAAACAAAACATATTCACTATTTATGTAAAGTAATTGAGCAATTAGATTTCTTATTTTCATTGAAATCGATGTTTTATTTCTTATAATCCGCATTAGACAAGTTACATTTAGACCTGCCTGCAGTTACATATTTTATCAGCGTGAGTTACATTTCTTTACACGCGAGTTACATCATTCATGCTACCAGGATAAAAAGAAAAAAAACACATCTACTGTACATGCGTAAAATGTTCACGCGAATTTTTTAAAAAAATATATGTAAAACTACGTCATTTTGGGGGTGGAGCATGATGCTCACAGTGTGATGATCCCACGGTATATGAACTGCAAAATGGTAGTTAACCCCAATAATGTCAACATTGGATTTAGAGGTAGACATATCACTTTTTGGTTCGATTTTTTTGCTTTACTTCAGTTTGGAGCTGATTGGAAGACTTACTATCAAATAATTAAAAATCATACTCCATATGTCCCTTAATTGTGTTCTAAAGTACATTTTGTTGAATATGTTGTTTTGTTGATGACTAACCATGTAGGTGGAATGGCGGACAGAACTGCTCTCAGTTCCATGAGGAACGAGAATTGGAACTATACTTAGTTCTGATCTATATGACTGATTGTTGTGCATAATGAATAAATTAATATGTACCTGCATGATAATACCTCACCTACATGCCTGGATTGATCATGCATATTCCTAGTATACGTGGCACAATTTATATATCTTTCCGTATACGACTAAGCACTCACCTCTATGAGTTGGCCTATATAGCTTATGGAAAGAATCATTATTTATGCTACATAAATATCCTGCACAAATTGACCGTAGCATATTTAGATCCACTGAGTAAATATTTCCTTATCACTTAATGTTAAAAAGTCATAAATTTTGGAAAGTATCTTGGGTTGCATGATCTGTAGCATCTTGTTTGAATATCTTACTTATATGATCGTTACATATTCAAACTTGTTAAAGAGAACTAATCATTGATATATAAATATGTTGTTGCTACATAATGTCCGTTGGTTGCTTATATTAGGAGAATAAAATATTCTCCTTATATGTGATATGTAATATTCTCCATATCTGTTTTGTTATTGAGTGATTTACTCATAATATACTTCCATATATATGGTTGACCGAGGATCACCATAATTGAGAGCCGGAAGATCTTTTGAATAAAAGGAAAGGAGAGGCTACGGATGCTATATATATTGGACTGAAGACCAGACGAAAGGGGTGTGTGCTTGACCGAGCTTCTATTGAGAAATATACACGAGAATATTCACTAAGTCCAAGGCACCTGAACCTGCTCACGGAGTTCCAGACAGAGTTTCTTTTTCCCTTCTTCATATTGTAATTGGGTTTTTGAGGATTGGCTAAGTGTAGCATCCTCGGGTTGGTTAGCGTGTTGTGAGAGCTTTGTTGTAAAGCTGAGAGGCTCTCTACCCGCAAGGTAGAGATGCATAACTCTTCCTAGAGAGGATAGAGTTGGGGTGGCTCAAGGGTAGACTAGGAGAGTTTCCCTTGTAATCATTCAAAGGCTTTTTAGTGGAGTTGTTCAAATTCCTCCGAGGGAGGTCGAGGTTTTTTAATCCCTTTGAGCCAAGGGATTTTTCCTCGTTAAATCCTTGTGCACTTTACTATTTCGTAATTCCCTGGACCCCACACTAGACCTGTGCAAAAAACTGTCACGGTTCCACACACACACAATTCACCCCCCCTCTTGTGTTGCTAACCGTTTCATCAATTGGTATCAGAGCCAGGTCTTCACCACAGAAAGGTTAAAACCTTGGGAAGAGATCCGGCAGCATGAATACGGTTGAACGATTGGAGGAAGGATACTCGACTCAACGACCACCGTTGTTCAACGGCAAATTTTATCAATTCTGGAAGAGTCGAATGGAGAACTTCATCAAGGCTGAGAACTACCAGGTATGGAACGTAATTGAAGTAGGCGATAACATCATTACTAAAGAAGATGCCGAAGGTATGGTTATCCCTAAACCCAAATCTGAATATACCTCTGATGATTATTGTAAACTCGAGCATAATGCTCAAGCATTGAAATATTTGATTTGTGGACTTGATCCGGCTGAGCACAACCGTGTTCTTGGATGCAAATCCGCAAAAAAAATGTGGGATCTACTTGAGATTACGCATGAGGGTACCTCGCGTGTAAAAAGATCCAAAATTGACATATTTATGCGTAATTACGAATTATTCGTGATGAAGCCTAAAGAATCAATTAGGGATATGATTACACGTTTTACTAATATTATCAATGAGCTCTCAGCACTTGGAAAAGATATTACTGTAGAAGATCAGGTGAGAAAAGTTATGAGAAGCCTGCCATCCGCATGGAAGCCTAAAACTACAGCAATAGAAGAAGCTAAAGATCTCTCTACCATGACGCTAGAAGACTTGACCGGCTCACTCATGACATATGAGCTAGGCCTACAAGAAGAACAAGATGCAGAAAATGTGAGAAAAGAGCGAGGAATAGCTCTCAAGGCTCGAGAAGAAGAAGAAGAATCCGGAAGTGAATCGGAAGATGAGATGAGCATGTTCGCCAAGCAATTCGGAAAGATGTACCGTAAATTCAAAGGCAACCGAAATAAACAAGGTAAAAAGGGTTTCCAATCTTTTAATAACCAAGGTTGTTTCGTTTGTGGTTCCTTTGAGCACAGGGAAAAAGATTGTCCTCAAAAGAAAAATGATAGAACCTACGACAAGAACAAGACCAGTTCCCATCGGAGGTCCGGTGAAGATAAAGGATTCAACAGAGACCTCAAAAAGGCAATGATGGCAGCCTGGGGAGACTCATCCGATGATGAAGAAGAAGAAGAAGAAAAGGGCCTAAATCATGCTGGATTGTGCCTCATGGCTAATTCCGATGTAGAATCCGACCAAGAGAATTTCGAGGTAAATTTGGAGAGCTTTCTTTCTAAATTTGATTCCCTCTCTAAAGGCAAGGTCCGAAAGATTTTCAAAAGATTAACAATCGAACTAAATCAAAGTCTTTCTGAAAATGATAATCTTAAATCACAAATCACCGAACTTGAGTCTAAACTCGAGGAAGCCACTAGAGCCAAGATAGGGCTGGAAACAAAAGTGGGAGAGTTAATAGATGAAAGGCTCAAGTATAGTGAAGTGGTTTTGGAACAAGATAACCTCATTTGCTCACTTAAGCTCGATAATATGAATAAACAAGTTAATGACGAAGAAAAACTTCTAAGAAAAATTCCGGACATTGCCTTGCTCATAAATCATCTCAATCGCCTTGAGGACGAGAGACAGGATTTTAAAAACAAATTCCCCCTTCTTGAGTCGTGCGGCGTCTTCCTCGGCTACCCTCCCCATTCTTGGATATTTTTGGGTGGAGTCCTTGTCGGAGATGATTCCCACTGCTCCTCGTCGTTCTAACCGGAAAAAGGGCGTAAAACCACCCCCACCTTCATCACCTACCCCGATTGAACTCGACGCCTCACCTCCTTCGACCATGCACTCCGAATCTGGTGACTCCCTACCACGATTCCCGGCGTCCTCTCAGGGGGAACCAGATAAAAACTCTCCATCACCAATTAAACCTCTCAAACGAAAACCAACCACTCGCGACGGAAAGGTACTGCCCCAAAAATACACCCGGAAAAGAGCAATCGCTGAGGGAATCGTCTCCGACAAGGACTCCACCCAAAAATATCCAAGAATGGGGAGGGTAGCCGAGGAAGACGCCGCACGAATCAAGGAGGAATATCTCTCCTGGGGAATAGTTAAGGTACTTTCCATCTCCTATGGTGATATTACTCAAAAAACCTCTGATTTTACTGAGCTTATTTCGTTCCAAAAATGGGAGACCTTGTTTGATTCCAAGAATTGCCCCTCTGTGTTTCCTGAACTCATCTCTGAGTTTTTGGCTAATCTTATTATCAAAGACAGTTTCTTATCTTCTAAGGTACAAGGCACAAAAATTCTATTAAGTGTGAGTGATCTAGGTCAAATATTGGGTGTTCCATGTACTGGTATATGCCAATATAACAAAACCGAGTGGCCCTAACCAACACCTCTCAAACAGTTGCACTAGAATACTTTAACCCAACCATTTCCGAATCCTCTCTTCATGTTGCGAGCCTTGCCCCAATTCCCAAACTACTGTTTTACTTTGTTCATCACAACTTGACTCCTAGGCTAGAAGGTCGATTCACACCCTCTAGAATTGAACTG